ATCTGAGACTAATACAATTTTCACGTGCGAAAGTAAGGATTGTCAATAATGGTCGTCATCTTATAAAATGGAATGCAATGATAAGTTTTAATTCCAAGGCATCTCACTCTCACCTTTGGTCGATTGCATCCTTGGTCGTTCTCCTGAAAAAAGTGTGAGATCTTTTGTCAACGTTGTTTAGAAAGAACTTAATACTAATGCTGATTCTTCCTCTTATGTTGGATATATATGGTGCATCAATGAAAAGGATTGGTGAAACATACATTCTTGAGGATGCCAAGGCTAACATTTTTCCACCAGGGTGAACCCCGCCCATCAATCACCCCCGAACCTTCCAGGACCAGACCAGGTATGTCTGAAAAGTGAAGCCAACTATTTGATACGCAGCCTTTCCACGCATCAGTTTCATTGGGTGCCACAATTTTTCCCAAAACCTGGCCAAAAGAAGCGTTAAAGGATTACTAATAAACATGACAACTTCACATAAATGCTTGAGCCATTAACTTTTCTCGTACCTGAAAATGTACATTGGAAGAGTAGCAGGGGCCTTCAAAATTCACTGGGCTCAGTAGGAATGTCCTTCCTGCTGGAACTATGACGCTACTTGAACCTCCACCATTTGAACAAGCAGCTTCCCAAGCTTGTGAAAAAGCCTGACATAATGTTCAGATCAAACAATTTAAGCAAACATTTAGTTACAAATATGAGTCTAGATTCATGCCCCATGAACAAATGTCGATAAAATTTGGCATAGCTTTTAACAAACGTTGTATGAATCTAAATAGTAATGGTGTAAACTTTTGAGAACACCAAGGAAACAAAAAAGGGAAAGAGAAAAGAAGTCTTAATCACTACCTCAGTGTCATCATGTATTCCATCTCCAATGGCACCAAATCCGGTAACATTAAAAACAGCAGCCAGGCCACCATCTAGATACGATGCAGCTATACAAACTATCAAGGATATGATTTGTAGACCCTGCAAAAGTCCCAAGTAACAAATTTCTGTAAATATTCTAACAAAATGAGAAGATTAATGGATGTATTCCATGTCTTCTTACCATGCTGTGCGTGCAGGTGGAAAGTAACAGACAAACTCTGTGGTATTACGGTCCATCTCCTAGCTTGTATTTATAGCAAGAAACTTGAGGAAAAACCTGATGGATTCATTTGCTTAGTAAGTATTCCTTAAATGATGAAATCTCTTGCATTATTTTGTAATATTTTAGCAGGCCATTTTTGCATAAAGAAAGAACACATATAGTAGCAAGAATTAAGAAATATGATATGCTAGTGCGATAGTTGAAGAAGTTTCAGTTTTCAGTCAGGTCTTTTCACCAGAATATAGCTCTCGCATATCAATCATTCCTTCATAGGAAGGCAATAATGGGTATTTTCATGACCCATTAACAGACATTAACTTGAACAACGGTTTCTAATCGACAAAATAGTAAAACAGGAGTTATCCTTCTTTTGTATTGCCCAAAACAAAAAAGTTGCAAAAAGCTTAGCATATCCACAAAGTTATTGCTTGGTCATGTTTCTACGTGGGGAAGGGGGGAAGTGAGTAGGGATTAACGGAAACTATTCTGAAAATAAGACAATTAGTATTTACGAAATAATTAAGTTTCATAACAAATGACATTAATCTTTAGCATTGTATGTCATCTGAAAATTTGCTTTAAGTATAAACATTCTTTTGGTATGAAGAAATAAGAAAAGATAAATTAGAATCCAGCTCTTATAGACAACTTTGTCCGCAAAAAATCTCTTTTTGATACTTTTTTTTTTAGAAAAAGTCATAGCATCTACAAATTAAAAAATTTAGAAAATAGCTTTGGGTTATAATTGGTCTTTAATTAGATAAGAATCCAGGTCTTTTAGATACTTTATCCACAAAAAATCTCTTTTAGACACTTAATCTAAAAGAGTCATAGCATCTACAAAATGAAAAATGTAGAAAATAGCATTGGTTATAATTACTATTTAAATAAATAATTAAAATTCTTTATAAATGAATCAAATGTTTAGGATCCCCCAATTCCTCATGAATCAAATTAAATTCTTTACAATTTTGAAATGTCCAATCAGAATATATCAACTGCTTCGCTGCTGATTCAATTCTCTAGCCCATGTTTTGGCATCCACTGTATCTCTTAGTTAGGGGAAAACTACTAGTATTGGGTAGCTTACTATGTTTACAATATTCTATGAGAAAAAAAAGGATATACGGACAATAATATGTTTAGAGAGAACAAATTTTGTACATCGAAATAGTGCACCCAAGTTTTGACATCGAATGTATCAAGAAATTCATTTGTATCGACCTATTGCATTTCCTCAAAAGGGAAAAAAAAAAAAAGACAGTGCAATTTATGTTATGAAATTTTCCTTGTTTATTAAATAAAAGTTGAGTCAACGGTGCCCATTTAAGAGGGGCGATATTAGTTTTTTTTTGTTTGTGTTGAAAAAAATAATTAATTTTGGGAACTTATCTAAATGTAGGAGTTCAATAATTATCATCATATTTGTTCTAATAAATTAGGTGTAATTTAAGTGTATTGGACACCCGTCAACAAAAAGTTGATTAAATAAATAGAGAGAACTTGGCCCATGGTGACGTCTTCTTAATAGAAAAAAAAGAATGCGATGCATGGAAATCCCCGAATTCAGAAAGGCTCAAATAAAGGTGGATCATCCCCCTTTAAAGCACAAGGCTTCAAAAGGTATATCAGCAATATCGCCAATATCAGCACAAGGCAATGTATGGAAAGGTAAATAAAAGAGTGTAGCATTTTTTTCGAACTTCTATTCTTTCCTACAGAAGGAAATAATTCTTTTCCTTCCCCTTGAATGAATGCGTCAAACCAAAGTGATTAGTTCAACTTACACAACGTTAAGACTTGTTAGTAGTAATGCATTCTCCCAATTTGAATACAAAAATAAAAACTATAAGTGGCAAAATTGATATATGGTTGATAAATGGTTTTAGTTCAATGGATAGTGGATCAAATTGATCAAATTCAATTAAAACCATTTAATAAATGGATCTAAATGGATGCCATGTAAATGGATATATAGTGTAAAACCGTGATCCATCCATTTATCCATCGACTCTCCTAAGTCCTAAATTTAAGATCCAAATGTTTTTTTGCAATAAAATACAGATCCTCAAAATTCTGTCGTTAAATCACCTAAAAACTTTTTGGTAATAACAAATGCTTGTACTACGACTCTATTTCAGTTCTTCATAAAGCAACTTTAAATTAGTTTAGTTCCAAGAAAATCTAACTACTGTGATCAATTTAACCTTTCATCATTACTTTAAGTATCATTTCGTAAAGTAATGAATAATTATGAACTCGACTACATTATTATAACTTTTGGGTGAATTGAATACAGCTTTATAGTGGAAAAAAGTTCACGTTTCCAATTTTTTGCTCTCCTATTCAAGAGGGATGCTTTGAATAAAAGTCGAGTTCTAATAAGAGGTCTTATGTTATTTGACAAGTAAAATATTTTCATCACATGAGCATGTAGTACCTAAAAATGTATGAAACTCCTTATTAGGCCATTGATATTCAAGCTACATTATATTTACTTAGTAAATTAGGTGTCTTTTTTTTGGAGGGTTGGATTGGGTGATAAAGGAAGAGAAATTGTAAGTATGAGTTTTTGGATTCAAAACCTTCCACTTATTAAAAAAAAGAAGAAGAAGGTGCCATTTACGTATCTTAACCAGTGTTGCGAGGACACTCATTAGAAAAATCCTTTTTGTAAATAAAAGAATAAAAAAATTACTTTGACACTGCATTATGCATTCTTGCTTTTTCTTTACTTAAGAATGTAAATGTTTGCAGTCATTACATGAGAGTTTAATTAAAAAAACAAGAGTAGAGACTAAAATATAATTTTGAAAAGGATGGAAGAACTCTAGGAACTAGAAGCCACTAAAATGTGATTAATGTTATTAGCAACTTGGCACATGAGGAAGTTATGAAGGAAAGAATAGATGTTCCCACAAGGTTCTATCTCACTTTTTTATAAATATTTGCAATCACTATATGTGTTTTCTACTTTTTAAATTAAGTGGATGTATATAGATGACATGGATAATCCATTTAAATCCACCAACATAATTAGATTTAGATGGTTATCCATTTAAAATCATTAAATTCATATGTATCATCCAAATCCATTTAAGGTTGATTTATATGGATGAATTAGTGGATATGAATCCGTTTTGCTACTTCTACTAAAAAGCTAAAAGACTTTTGGCCTGCGTGACAAGAAAACTCACTCAGTCCTAGTCTAAAGGCTGGAAGATGTGTCAGCTATGACCATGCCAACAGTATAGGAATTTGTTGTGAATTATAACTCAAGGGCATTATAGAAATTTTGACAAAAAGTATAGTCTTTTGGGTTTAGAAAGTTACTTAAATAGTGAAAAGGGAAGGTATGCATAATTTTTAAAACTTGACGGGTGCTTTTTACAAATTATCAAAAAACCTCAAGGGAGGCATGTGAAATTAACCCGAAGACTTTTGGCCAGAAAACTCACTCAGCCCTAGTCTAAAGGCCGAAAGATGTGTCAGCTATGACCATGCCAACAGTATAGGAATTTGTTGTGAATTATAACTTAAGGGCATTATAGAAATTTTGACAAAAAGTATAGCCTTTTGGGTTTAGAATGTTATTTAAATAGTGAAAATAGGGGAGGTGTGCATAATTTTTAGAACTTGAAGGGAGCTTTATGCAAATTATCAAAAACCTCAGGGGAGGCATGTGAAATTAACCCAAAGACTTTTGGCCAGAAAACTCACTCAGCCCTAGTCTAAAGGCCAAAAGATGTGTCAGCTATGGCCATGCCAACAATGGCCTACGCTCCTGTTGCACGTGTCCACCCTACATCGACTTAAACTCCTCTATAAATGCCTCGTTATCTTGCTTCTGTTAATCTCCATCATCAATTACTAATACGTGTTTGTATTAACTGCTTACATTACCTAATTACCTCAGCTCACATTATTAGTACAGTACTGAAAAAAACCATATTAATTGCTGGAGCATGGATAATTCACAAAACGCAAGTTACCAAGCCGGCCAGGCCAAGGGCCAAATGCAGGTGATTATCACGGCACCCGCTTAACTTCAATTCTCTTACCAGTGATATAATTGGTGATTACAAGGAATGGATCAGTCACTTTTGTGTATTATGTTGATTGATTTCAGGAAAAGGGAAGCCAAATGATGGATAAGGCAAGCAATGCGGCTCAATCTGCTAAGGAATCCATGCAGGAGGTTCTTCCTTACTTTTCTGATTATTATTTTTTTACCATACCAGTTTACTATATTTTCTCACAACACATACATGCAATATATTTCTTGTTTTCCTTTTTTTTTTTTAAGGAAAAAAAAAGACAAAAACAAAAAAAAAAGGAAGCTTATTACTTGGGGTTATGATAAAATTGTCTGGGGTGTGTTGTATGCATGCAGGCAGGGCAGCAGGCGAAGGCCAACGTACAGGGAGCAGCCGATGCTGTTAAAAATGCGACGGGGATGAACAAATGAAGAGGGTGCCGGATTTCTAAAATGACAAAATAATATATTTCAGACTTTCCACTTTGTTTGTCAAGAGTATTGATTGGTAGCATTGCACTCAGTGCCACTTCTATATTTATGCTAAGTGTCCTATTTATTTAATTTGCCATATATTGTTTATTTAAATTTTTTCTACCATCACGTAAATATAGTGGAATTGGCACTGGATTTAATATAATTGATACAAGATTAATGAAGTCAAAGGGTGGTCGCCCATTCTTTCTAAGGAAAAATAGAGCGCTTCTCTAATTTCACCCGATCCACTCTTTTATTTTATTTTATTTTATTTTATCAATCGTCACTTAACTACGATTATAACCAACAATCTAAACAAAATTGGTAACAGGGCCTCTAGCAATAAATGGTGGGAATTTTGTGTGTGTGTGTGTGTGTTTTTTTTTTCTGTTTTTGTTTAAACATTGCTTGTAATTTCTGTTTTACAACCTCCAAAAATATGTGACACATTTTGTTGACATACAAGTATTGTGTTTCATGGGCGAAGCCACAGCCAGCCATTGCACCCCCTCAATTTTTTTGAAACTACATACCCTAATAGCCTATAAAAAAATAAAATTTTTTAGTTCCTCCTTTTTTGTCCTCCCTGAATTTTCATAGTATTTCCTCTAGCCCCACATATGCCCCCCAAATGTGTTGAAAATTTTTAATTTGGCCCCACCGCTTTTACAATGAAACATTGAAATAAAATAACTAAATGATGCTATTTTCATTTTCTTTCCAACAAATTTAATGTAATTCAATAAACATTAAACTTTTCTTAGATGTTATACATATGAACTAATAAAATCAAACATTCATTTTGTAGTGTAAAATGTACACATTATGCCCCTAGCACTTGCACATAAATTTAATTATTACGCGTTTATATACAACTTTTACCATAATTTTAAGTATCATGTAATGTTACACCATTATATGACCTCATCATTATTACAAATAGACACAAGCCGCAGATTTCTTTTTTAGAAATTTTTTAATATTGAATAAATTAGTATACATATAATAGACATTTAATTATAGCCAAAGCTTAGAAGATATTGGAAGCTTATGTTGATATTATTGTACTCCTTGAATAAAGATTCTAGCCTCGCCACTGTTATGATACATTCCTCCGTTTTAGTACATTTATTGCACTTTACACAAATAGAAATCCGTCATCCACAATTTTGCAATATTTAATATCCCAATATCACTCACTACGTGTCAAAGCACTAAGTTATGTCGAGGCAATTGGCTAACATTCTATTGTAACCATGGTTCGCCGTTGCAGATCGCTGTAGCGTCGCGGTTGTTCCACATCCATCGCGGCATATCAGTTGAATATCGTGATATGCATATTATAGCATATAAAAATTTTCAAAAAATTTAAAACAATTATTAAAAAATATAGAATTTCATTAAAAAAATTGTACATAATTCATTAATTTTAATTTATTGCGATTACATAAAATACTTCATTTTAATATTTTAATTTTAATATGTACATTGCAATAACTAATACGTATGAAGTATACCATAAAATATTTTAATTTTAATTTATTTAGTGAAAAATGAAGAATATTTATATAGTGAAAATGGTTTTTTTTTTAAATTATACTAAGACTTAAAAGGATTTCGGCCTTTTTATAAAATTATTTTATTTTGAAAAAGATAAGATGTAGTTGTATAGGAGCCACGATTAAACCAACATAGTAGAGAATATGGCTGGTAGCTCATCGTCTTCTTAAGTGGACTTCGACTCTACCTGCCACAGTTCTACTGAAGCAAAACTTTGGCCAAAAACCTTGTGATTCTTTTGGTGAAAAAAATGATTTTATCTTCAAAATTCACGAAAAAAGACTCACATCTTAACTAGAAAATGAAAAAAGCTTAAGAGAAAGCCCTAAACTTCAATATACTTAAAAATCAAAACATTCCATAAACTTCTATATTGCTTATCGGATTGTCACGAATCGTCCCGTTTCGACTGATTTCTTATCTCACTGAATTGACTTAGCTAGCTAATATCGGCCGAGTCAACTGGAATCATCTTAAAGACAAGTCATTCATTGATTCGAATATCGATTTCGTACCAACAAGCACTATTCCAATTATATATCGTCCAAGTCATCTCGGCAAACCATGATTGTAACAGCGCATACAGCTACTTATAAAATTTTTGACCAAAAGTAGAAAATAAAAAATAGCATACCGTCCCTCTATTTATCCCCGTGGACAATTAACACTTTCTTCTTTTTCTTTTTCCTTGTTTTAAAGGCGGTTAGGGATAGACAACACTTGTACGATTGTAACCACAAAGAGGGGTCCAATGGACAAGAATCGTATTGGAACAAATGACCACCAAGACAAGCCAGGATGTCAAAAGCGTTTTAATTGCTCCTCTTAAACGAAAATTTTTAGACCACCAAAAACATTGCATAGATATCACTCATTTTGGTAGCCATGGTTACCCTTTCCAACAATCACAGCAACATTCCCCATTGAAAGCATTAACAGGAACAGCATCCTTTCCCCTGGTCACAAACTACCCCTGAATTTGCAGTTGCGGCCATCCACCCAGCGTCGATAGCACAGCAATCCAAATCATGGGATTAAAAAGCATTAAATGAGACATCGCTGTAGACTGCAAGCCCCGCTAACCGAATCCAACATTCTTTCCATTCCATCCGAATCCCAATCCGAGCTTCAGAAGTCATCATGCTAACCCACTTGAGCATCGTTTGTAACAGGAACTGCAGGGCTTTACATGATTCACCTCTCCGAAGCTCAAAATTAACCAAATAAAGCTAATATTACGCTGTCCGACTACTACGTAAAAAAAAAAAACAAAAACAAAAGTTTAAAGGATTATCTAGGGACAACTGGAGAATAATATCTAGCAAGTCGTATTGTAACACATTTTTAAATCCTCTCTAAGCTGCCAAACCATATAAGTCTAAATAAGATACAAGAATCTCAGTAGCAAGGTGCAAACAATAGAACAGTTCTCTAGCAATCAACTCAGTCGAATTCTCAAAGTGATGCGAACAAAAGTTCAGTAACTTGGACATCATTTCCAATTTTGCCACATAAGAACTCCGTCACGTCATCACGAGGGCACTGCATAGCAAGATTTTTTAGAACAAGTCAAGGACGGCGCAGAAACAAGGCTATCCACTTATCCACAAAAATGGAAAGCTATAAGATTATTAAACCCTAGCACTAAGAAAATAAAAACCTACTAGAAGAACTGAAATAAGTAGGAAAAGGTAAGAGAACGCACTATATGTAGAAGTATCAATCTGCTCAGGAAGCTCCTTTATATCCACTTCAAACCTCTCCTGAACCTACAGACCATGAAATCTAAGGATCAGATTAAAACAAAAAAAAACAGAGATTAAAACAATGGGAAAAATGTGTACTTGTAAATTTAAACCTGATTGAGGACATCAGAATCAGATGCTGATGAAACAAACGTAATGGCAAGACCTTTTGTGCCAAATCTACCAGCTCTACCAACCTGCACATATTCAAAGTGGAAAGAACTTCAGTTCTAACCCTCCTGCTTTGAAATGAGCAGTACTAATTGTGATAAAACTACACCCACCCTGTGCAAATAAGTGTCTGCAGAATCTGGCATGTCATAGTTAATGACAATGTTAACCCTCTCAATGTCAATTCCCCTACCAACCAAATCTGTTGCCACAAGAATCCTCTTATGCCCCTCCTTGAAACCCTTGTAGCGTGTCAACCTACAAGAGATACCAGTGTCATGAGTTCAATATACACCACAACCCCTTTTGGATCAAAGAGGAGGCCAGTTCCATTTACTGGTTCTTAAAAATGCCTAGCCATTTTTAGCAACTATGCAATAAATGTTCTGCAAAACCTATATACAGAATAATTCACAAAGCAAGTCAATCCAGCTTTTAATAGAAATATGCCTCCAGCTATTGTTCTCATATTTTTTTTTAAATCCAGAGCATCTGATCCGAAAGATTAAACCAATAGCATGTAAGTCAAGCTAGAAAAAAAATAGCAACACCAACCTTTCTTCCTGGGACATGCCCGAATGAATGCAGATAGATGGGAAATTACATTCCACAAGCAATTTGTTCAGCTCAGCAGCTCGGTTCACGCTTTTGACAAATATGACAACTTGGTTAAAGTCCAACGCATCAAGCAGGTCATTCAACTTCCGGTTTTTCTCGAGTTCACTCAACTTGATGTAATGCTGCCAATAGATATCATCATGTTAAAGAAGAGTTTCATACCAAGAGACGCACACTAATGACTAAGTTGATACACACACCTGTACAAGACCATGAAGGGTCAACTTGGCTTCGTCGTCCACATAGATTTCCATCGGCTGAAAGGAACAAATGTCACAGTAAAGCATATTAGGAGCCTTCTTGAAGGCTAATGGAATCCAGTACGTAATGAATGATGGATGAGTATCCCCTGAATTGATGTTCTTGTCCGTCATCGCCTCCTTGGAGATACTTTTATCAATCATACCAACTAGAAGTCACTGTCCCTTGACACGTAACTATGCAACTACAAAACTCTCCAGAGAAGCAACATTCCCACCCAAACCTCCTCCCCTTCTCCTGTACTAGAATTAACGAAAAGCTACCCCAGCCCAAATTTAAAAAAATATAAAATTTAATGACACGAAGGAAAAGCATACAACCCAACTGGAAAAGGATGGCTCCTAACTTATACTCCTTTGGACCTCAAAGAACCTATGGCATTTGCAACCCGCCCACTCATACCAAGGTAGTATCTGCAGTAGAGGATTGACAAACACAATACACATGGTAAAGTATACAGTGCTTCAAATACTGCATTCTTGACTAGCTTGCAGAAAGCTCGAATAATGAAAAAGGAGACGTCAAAATTCAAGTAGAGCTGGCCACAGGACATTACATCTTGCATAAACTTCTTGCAAACTGGGCGGATCTCCTTGCTGAGTGTTGCTGAGAACATCATAACTTGCTTGTCATGAGGAGTCATCTTGAAAATTTCCTGCACATCTCTCCTCATG